CCAAGTAGTAATCTCTGTGCTAAGAACATGAATAATACCCCTTGTGAAAAAGAAGTGCGTTTAGTTGTATTAATTGTGATTTGAAGCTTTACTTTAAAGTTCAACTTACTGCATTTAAATAAATTTAATCTATAATGTATTTTAATTTTACAGCAATTAACATGCAATTATGTGTCCAAAAACATTACAGTCAGTTCACACTTAAGTATATTATATTAAAATATATTATTTATGCAATAAGTACTATGTAAAAGTATGCTTAAGTGTGCTTTTTCACAAAGGACTTCTTGGTTTTTGAGAAAATAAACCTATCCAGGTCACACGTGTGTGAGTGTATATGTGTGTGATTCTCACTTGCTTTTATTCTCTATTTTTCCCATCATGTTCCAAACCAGTACAAAACCTCGGATGCCATGTGCTTTGATGCTGCTGTACAGGTCAGACCGTACAATACAGAGAAACACAGCAAACACAGCTGCCAAGCCTTCCCAGCCTCAAGACCTCACAAACCAGCAGCTATTGTGCCTGCCTTTGTGTTATTTAGAGCAATGTAAATATCGGATACAATGAAAACTGGATATTGTAAATATCTTTTTATCTTCACTGATCTCAAAAATATCTCAGAGTCTGAGAACACTCACTTTATTATGACTGTGTGCATTGTGCGTTAATGAATCTAATTCACTGAATAGTATTATAATAGACAGAATAGGGCAATTTGAAATACAACACTATAACCACACAAACAAGAACTACAAAGTATCATGGTACAGGACGTTCTACCAGGGTTATTGGACCATTTATGTACCATTAGTATCTTCAAGGTACCTTAGAGTATACCATGTAAAGACCATTGTACATGAATATATTGCTCATTCAGTACCTTCCAACACCATCACTGTACCATGGTAAAGCCACTGTAAGGGAAAAGTAAATCAATTTGTCTTGAAATGACAAGGTGCATCTATCTGGAAATGGTTTCTTATAAAAGCTCATAGCACTGTGCTTACTGACCTATGACTGTTCTCGTAATCGTCAAATAGTCTGTGAGTCAGCGGGTCAGCATTTCATTACTCTAGTTCTGCAAAAACAGAGTTACATGACCATCTGCTGAATCCCACATCATCTCTCAAACTTTCAGGGAGTTTTTGGAGATCTCTGAATATTCCCAAGCTTTTCACGACAAGGCAAGCGAGGGTTTTAAAGTTTAAATAGCCCTGACACATGACTCCGTTGACTGTCTGTCTCAAAGATAGCGTTTTCTACATCTAGTGTTTGTTTCCGTCAGAGTGGCTGACATTGAGTTAATGAAGCCTGCTTCAGTGACCCTGCACTTCCTTTCTTTCTCAGGGTTTCTCCTTCAGAACAAAACAAAGATAGCAGCTTCCTGAAAAATATAAATAAAGATTCCGTCAGGACTGTTTCCTCTAGCACAGTCTAGAAGGGCTCTGGATCAACAAATAAGCTGTATATGGATAATCCCATTAATATGTGAGACACATTGGGCTCTGAATGATAAATGAACACATGAGCTATGAGTATGAATGCATATTTGGAGAAAGAAACAGCAGTAATAAGGTTGTGCTCTTATCCTAACCTTTTACTGTACTGAAGCCCATTAAACACCTGTAAAACAGCCCCTATAAAACAGCCCCTCCACATAGCGACCACCATCAGAAGGCCATAAACACACACAAACACACCCTCTTACACTCCCAGCAGCAGTAGACATGTGAACCTAATCACCCTAATCAGACTTCACGCCAGCTGTACTACCGATCGATACTGGTTGCGTGTTAAACGAAGTATTGAGAGAGAGTTTGAGAAACAGGGATGGAGTATAACGAGATTGAAAAGCATTTGTAGGACTGGAAAAAAGAGGACTTTTGGGGTGGAGTTTTATCTAGATTAAAAAAAGCCTATATCAGCAAGCTTTCATTTTGAGTGTTTATTTTTCTGTAACACAAAACACCCTAACAAAAAACAAAAAGAAAAAGAAGAAAAAAAACTATTAAAAATAAATAAATAAAATAAAATAAAATAAACAAATGTGATGTTTCACACAAGGGATTCTGGGAATGTACTGTTTTTTTTACCATAATTCTTACTGGTAAAAAATACAAATTTTACAGTATTTTACAGTAAAATTACATATTATGCGATATGTATGATAACTTACAGTTAACCAGGTAGAGAAGTTTTAACTGTATCCTCTTTTTAGTTTTTTTTCTGTAAAAATTACAAAAATGTTTTACAGTGTGCCATTGTTGCAGAAATATACTAATTTGGAGACGATGTGAAAACATTTGTGCGCCTAAATGGTGCTGAACTGCTGATCCATGTTTGTAGTGATAGAACAGATGAAATATGTCTATAGAAGTCAAAAATAATGTACAGGCAATTCTTATCAGGAACTTGATGTAAGTTTATTAAAGGGGTCCTATTATGCTCTTTTACAAAGTCTTGATTTTGTTTTAGGAAACGTCATGTCCCTTACCATAGCCGCTTGCGAGCTTCAGTGTAAATATTACATCAAAATCAAATCAATTTGAGCGTGATTTAAACCCGGATGATTGTAACCACTCTAAGTTCGTCTGCC